CTGGGTATGTAGTCAGCCTGCCTGATGGCATCAACCTTGTCCAGGACGTACTGGGCACAAACAGCTGGTACTTGGGGTGTTCCCAGCAGGCGTGCACTCCCTAGCCCTCCCGCAGAGCCTTGGCATGCTCACAGAATCTGAGAGGGAAATCAAAGTCGGGCATGGACCCTGACTGGGAATTGAACCGGGCACTCAGTCACTGAGCCACACTAGCCAGGGCCTTCAGGTTGTTTTTAATGTCCTGCAACTTGGTGGCCTTCTCATCCCCATTAAACTCACTAACGCGCAGGATCCTTGTTTGCTTCAGAATGGTACAATGATGCTTTTATCAGACTCTCCAGCACTCAGCAGCAGCAGGCAGTGCATGGCCTGGAAGATCTACTTGTCCTTTTGCAGCTGCTTCTCGATCTTTTTGTTGGCCTCCCGTGGCACTTTCTCTTCATGGTGCTGGTCCTCAGTCTCATTGTTTCTGACACAGCCCATGGCGGCAGTGGCGGGCAGGTGCAGGTGGCCTTCCGCAGACCAGGAGGGCTGGGACAGTGCTGGGCAGCCCTGGGGTGAAGGCTCGGCTCCTAGGGGAGGAGTGCGCAGCGGTTGGACGAGGGAGCATGTGCCCCCCTCTCCAGCTGGAGCTGTAGGTGCTGCTCCACTTTATTTATTCATTCAACAGTTACTGGACTTGGGTTGTTTCCACTTATGGAGAGCAGGACCAATAAAATGGCATCGGTCCAATCAAGACAGCTTAAAGTATAGAAAACCAAGTGGAGTCACTCATATCAACCAAACTGGCTCAGTCAGCTGTGACACTTTGGTTCAAGAGGGAAACTACGTAAGTCAGAGCAGACACATCTGGCAAGGAGCCACAGTTAAGATATCTGCCCACGCGGTGAGGATAGACACATCTGGCAAGGAGACACACCTGAGGTATCTGCACATGTGATCCGAACAGCCATGTCTGCAGAGCGGGGCCACCCACAGATAGGCTCCTGGGGGATTCCACACTTGCCAGCAGGGGAGCCAAGACATTTATTGAAAAGCCCAGAAGGGGGGAGTTCACTGCTCTCAAGGTACAACTGAGGCAGGCCCCAGACCACTGCTGAGACGGCTGGGCTCCCCACACCACAGCGCTGCTCCATGCCATGCCGACCTCCCTTGGCATTGGCCGCCAGGGGCTCTGCCCCGCCACCCGCCTGGCTCTGGAGATCCTTCCTCGCGAGACGCTGACAACTCCCTTGCCCACTGTGCTCTCTCCTGGACCCGCAGACGGAGACTCTGGGACTCGGGTTCATTATCCCCCACTGATTACTCTGTATGTGCGTTATAATTCTCTTCGACTGTTAAGAGTGTGAGTAGGATATTAATGTATGTTGATGTTCTACTTAGAGTGAACCCGCATTCAATAAAAGGTGAGTGAATAGCACAGTTACTGCATGTGACTCTTGTCTGTTCCTTGGTGCCAGGCTGCTCAGCCAGCAGTGAGCCGAGCCATTGCCCGGCTGACTTACAGGAAAGGCTGTATCACGAACCTGCGCTCGTGACACCACTTTATAGCTCCTATGCTGCCATAAACAACTGTATGCAGTTTTGGGACACATTTTCATTTTTCTTTTTAAGATTTTATTATTTTTAGAGAGTAGGGAAGGGAGGGACAAAGAGAAGAAGAGAAACACTGATGTGCAAGAGAAACATTGATGGTTGCCCCTCTCACACCCTCAACCAGGGACCTGGCCCACAGGAATCGAACCCATGACCTTTCACTTTGTGAAATGAGGTCCGGCCCAGTAAGCCATACCCAGCAGGGCCATGTTTTCATTGTTCTTGGGTAATATTTGGGAGTGGGATTGCTAGGTCATATGGTAACTATGTTTACCCTTTTGAGGAACTGCTGGGCTGTTTTCCAAAGTCTGGAAACCCTGCACCATTTTATATTCCCAACAGCACTGTATGAGGGAGATGGCATACTTGTACATTTCTGCAAATCTCTTTTTATGTCTGGCTTAGTAGAGAGCAGCTGGATTCCTGTACCTGTATCTGTATTCAGTCTACTGTAAAGTATTGCCTTGGTTGAATATAAAGGAAAAAAATCCAGACTCAAAGAGATAGACAGTTAGAAAAAAGAAAGAACATGGTGGAATATTCTTTGATACTACACCAAAACTCTACAAGTGGTAGTCTCTTATAGGTTAGTTGCAAAGCAGAATTCAAAACCATATCAGTAAGTCTTTTTATACTGTTATTTATTAAAATCCAATCAACAGAAAAAGGACATCAGTGGAAAAACAATAGAATCTGCAATTTTTGTTAACAGTGTAGCACCAGCGATAATTTCTTGAGATCTGATACACAGACCATGGTTAAGAGAGATGTTAGCGCTGGGAGAAGCTGGGTAAGGGGCACATGGGGACTCTACGTCCTACTTCTGCCATCTCTCCTCTAAGTGCAAAATTATTCCAAATAGTAAGTTAAAAATAAAATCCAACACACTGGTCTATTTTGCTCTTTAAGTGAATTGTATGACCTCATAGATTGGTCATTTGGAAAATAATGGTTGAATGAATTATACAAATCTTTCTAGAGTTACTCATTTCATTATATAATATTTAAAAAATCATGATTGTTACTATCACTACTGGTATCTTCAGAAAAGTCTGTAAGAATTGTAAGGATTGGGAAGCTGTTAAACTTACAGTAACAGAGATAAGTTTTCCAGAATTTTGATTTTCACTTGAAAGCTCAAATTTTTTTTATCATTGGTTAAAAATATTCTCAGTTGTTTCCTTTGAAGTGACAATTCAAGAAAATTTTCAAGTTCATTTTCAAGAAAATACCTGCCAAATACCCAAGTCTGAATAACCAATTTGCAAGCTCTTCTTTCAAAGTAAAAAGGGCGTTCCGTGGAAAAAGCGGCACCTTCAGTTCGCACCTTGATTGCACAGGTCCTCATCCCCAAGACAACAGCGTTCCTCCCTCCTACGAAGCGGAAGTGCTTCATTCGCATTCCCCATTTCAACACATGGGATATTAAAAAGGCATGGGCTGCAGGGTTGAGATATAGTAAATTCACCACTTTTACTATTTAAAGACATTCTTAAGAAGAACTGGCCTTTCTTCTCTTCCTTTGATTCTGATGGTAAACAATAAAATGACTACTGGCCCAACCTGGGGCAACTGCTTTGATGTGAACCCAGGACCCGCCCTCTTAATCCACCACTGCAGCTGTACTTGCACTTGCACTTCAATGCAAACGCCACCGCAGTGGAAGGGCGAATAACGCTGCAGTATTACCGTGGAAACTGCTTTGGTCCTCCTGTCCCTTTTGGAAGGGTTTCAGGGAGCCCAGGGGCTGCAGGTCTCATTTTTGAGAACAGCTGCTCTGCCAGCATGTTAAGGCCCCTGCAGGCAGGGTTTTGGTCTGTTGTGTCCACGGCTATTTCCCCTGTGCCTCGAACAATGCTTGGCACATAACAGGTGCTTAATAAATACTTATTAAATGAATGAATAAATGAATAAATGACTGGATAAATTAATGTTATAATATCTGTAATTACTTTCAGCTGCTTGGAAATAAAGCAATAAAAAATTCAGGGTATTTGTTGTAGTTTTTTGGTATAATTTTAAATTTTATAGAATGTTAAATATTTAATGAGAGAATAAAGGAAATTATTTCTTTTAACTGCAGGGATGGCAAGAACAGCAGGGATTTTTCAAAACCATGCCAACAGTGTTTTCACTAGAAAGCAACAGCTTTTAGCAAAAGAAAAAAGCCCCCTGACCTGTAACACTGCCCGTGACCTCGAAACAGGTGCAAAATCCAGAAAGGGGGAAAAAGTTCCCACTTGCACATATTTCTCCCACATTTGCTCTTTCAACCCGCAGTGTCACGCACAAAGATGAACAGGGAGTTAGAATACACTAAGTTGGGACACACAGGAATTCGTAAGAAGCAATTAAAATGTTTGAAGTTTTGAGGATTAATTTTATTTCAGAAACAGAGCTGAGGACCTCAGTGTATGGTTCACATACTGTGAGTGGTACAGATATGGATGTTAATGAAGTCAATGTTAGTACAAAAAATTGCTGCATAATAGCTGATCTAGCTAACAAAATATTCTGGTTAGTAGGAAGTTACCATATAGTTGACTACTTTTTGATGAATAAGAATTCAGTAAATACACAATTCGTAAGCTGGAGAATCCAATACTTATTTACTGACTCCCAAGGCACTTCGGAATCTCACCAAATTCCAGGGAGTCACTATTAGAAAGGACTTATCAGTTAACGAGGGTCTGGTAACGGGTTTAACGGCGATGTAAGTCTCCCGCTCTTTAGTTTCTAGCTCCACTTCTGCCACTCAGTGATCAGCTGGCAGCAGACATATTCCTTAGCTTCTCTGTAGTTCCGTTTTTCCCTTCTTTCCTGAAAACTCAGGAATGCTTACAATATGAAGGCATGTAAAATATTATGGGTCTCTTGAAGATACTGAGTCTAGTATAAGGAGTTAAATGTGGGGATTACCCAGAATATAAAACATCCCGGTAAACTTTTAATTTCCAATTCTGAAATAACAATCTGTGAATTTCTTCTACCCTATATAAAACCTACGAAGAAAACCCCAACCCAGGCATCTGCTTGCATATAAATCCTGGGAATAAGGCTGACGCTGCCTCATGCCACCCTAGCAGTTTCTGAACACTCTGTCAAACACTGCAGCATCTGTGTCACTTCATCTTCCCAGTGGCCCGTTAGGCAGGCAGGGTAGAAGGAATCAAGTTTATTCTTCAGAGGAAGGAACTGAGGGTTAGAGGGGCTGAGTGCCTCACCAAGAGGCAGTGCTGGTGCCCGGAAGGCCTCACGAGCTCAGGGGCCTTCCCACGGGTGCACCTGCTTTGCCGAGTGAGGGAAGAGAGGGGAGGTCTCCAGGGGTATTTCTGAAGCTCCAACAGTGGGCACAAGTTACCTAGATTCCCTGAATCCTGAACAAACAATCCTATTCAACTCACCTGTAGCTTCACAGCAATGACCACGGAGTTAAGATCTTTGTCCATTTCTTTCAGCATAACAAGCTTCTTCAGGGTCAAGCTGAACAGCCTAGAAAAATTTAGAGAAAAAAGATCCAGTCAAACGTAAGGAACCTGAGAGAAAAGTGATCGACAATCTATTGGGGGAAATGCTGCTTTATCTAAAGTAAGAATGTTAGAATGCCACTCTCAGTCCATACTGTGTCTTCCCTCAGTAAATGAGCATCCATCCCTTTTATTTAACTTTTGTACTTGAGAAATGTCAAAAAGGTACAATATTCCATCAACCTCCTGAATGCCCATTTATCTCAAGCCAAAACCAACACATGTGGTATTGAAGGAAAAGAAAAGGAGATCAATGGAACAGACCAGAGCACCCAGAAAAAAAAATCCTACAATCATACAGAAGCTTGACATAAGAAAAGGACAGTATTAAAATAATTGGGAATAGCATAAACTATGAAATGAAAAAAAATTTAGATCCTATCTCACACTAGATATAAAAATAATCTCTAGGTGGATTAAATATTTAATTGTGAAAGGCAAAACTGTAAGAGAGAGATGGGATAATATAAGGTAAGAATGGATTTCTTCTTTTTTAATCCTCACCAAAGATACGCTTAGGGTGGGGGTGGGGAGGGAGAGGAGAGAGGGAGAGAGACAGACACAGATGTGAGAGAGAAACATTGATCAGCTGCCTCCCGTAGGCACCCTGGATGGGGATTGAATCTGCAACCTATAGTGTGCACTGCGTGATGCTCCAACCAGCTGAGCCATCCAGCCAGGGCAAGAATGGATTTCTTAAATAAGACACTAAAAACACTGCAAAATTCAATTTTATTAAAATCAGGCATTCTGTTTATCAGGAAACACCATAGAGTGAAAACACAAATCATGAACTTGGAAAAGATGCTTGAAACTAATAATACTGACAAAAGGTCTAGAATATAATGAACTCCTATAATTCAGTAAGAAAAAGACTGGCAAATTAATAGAAAAGTGAGTAAAAGACATGAACAGATGTTTCATGTTTCCAGAAGAGGAAACATTAATGGCTAATAAATGTACAAAAATATGCTCAACCTCATTAGGAATCAGGGAAATGCAAATTGAAATCAAAATATCATTTTACGCCCACAAAACTGGCAAAACGAAGTGTGGGCGAAGATGTGGCACAATGGGAACTCGTATGCTGCTGGTGGGTGTGTCAGCTAGAACTTGTGCGCTCAGGAAACGGCTGGGCTCCTGAAGTTGAGCACATGTGCAACCCGGGATTCGGCAACCCCACTTTGGGAGAAACACCTGCCCTGTGCCCCAGGGGACACACAGAAAAGCGCCCAAGGCCTTCACTAGCTTTGTCACTGCGGCTTGGCAACTTCATCTTCTAACGCCTCTGTTTCCTCACAGTAAAATGAGGGTTGTTAATACCAACTCCGAGGGTTGTTGCGAGGATTCATAGGTACAAAAGCACTGAGAACAGTAAGCTCTCTGTAAACTAGATAATACTTGTGTTACGCTCGGCAGAACCCAAATGTACAGTGTCAGAAGAGTAGACAATGAAACTGTGATATATTCGTACAATCAAGTGCTACCCAGCAGTGAAAATGACTTCAACATGCATTAATCTCCAAACACAATACTGACTGAAAACAAAGTTGCAGAAGGCTACAGAGTACAATACTGTATCAAATTCAAAACCAAGCAAAAATAAACTACAAATTATTTAGGGAAGTACATGTAGGAAATCTGTAGAGGGCATGAGGAGGAAACGCTCAGTGAGGCTTGGCTGTGTCTGCAGCCCAGTGAGTGAGGAGAGCAGAAAAATGCGAGGTTAGAAAGGCAAACAAGCTGGACTGGGCAGTGCAGCCAGTGAAGAATTATAAACAAGTGGACCACAGACAGTGATTCGTGCAAGTTCATTCTATCACTATGTGAATAACGGACCACAGAAAGGAGAGCGTGGAAACAGGAAGACCTGTCTGGAGGCTTTTGCAGGGTAAGACAGGAAGAAGACAGGAAAGACAGGGAGGTCTGATCTGAGGCGGTACAGTGGAGACGGGCAGAAGGGTGGGATTCAGGAACATTCTGGTACAACTGATAGAACTTGATAATAAATTAAATGCAGGGTATGGGGGAAGCGAAAGCTCAAAGATGTTTCTGGATTTTTTTGGCTTGAGCAACTCAGTGAAGGATGGTAGTATTGTTTACTGAAAAGAGGGAAATGGGGAAGTCTTTCAGTTGAATAGGGCAGAAAAGTCAGGTCATTATTAAATTTGAGACAGTTCAATAGCCAAATGGAAAAATTAGAGTAGGCAGCTAGCTATGAGTCCTGAGATCCAGGGAAAGATTAGGCTAGAAATACAGGTGTGGGAGTCGCAGCATAAAGATGGTGCTTAAAACAACGGCGACAGCTGAGGTCTTCCAGGGGAAAGTGCACATTTAAAAAAAAAAGGTGGGGCCGGGTAGCAAGACTGGAACCCTGGGCACACCAATGCGTATGAGCCTGGCAGAATAGAAAGGTCCAGCCAGGGGGAAAGTGAGGCAGGGAAAGAGGGTTTGCCCCATGGACCTATGGAAGAAAGCGCTTAGGAAGATGTGCTGAGCGCTGCTGAGAGTAGCTAAGGTGGAAGAGTGGATCATTCAGTTTGGCAAAATGGAGAACACTCGTGACAACACCAGGTGTTTAAGGGAAGCAGTAAAAACAAAAGCCGTGAGGTATCCTTTCTCCTCGGAAATGTGAGCAGCTGCAGATGAAGAGGGGAGGACAGAGAACAAAATTTCAAGCTGGAAAAAGAGCAACATGGTACAGAGAAGGAACTTCTCCATGTTGACTAGTATGAGTCTAACAGTTCACGTTTTCAGCATTCAGGGGCTTGTTAAGATGTCAGGACCAAATGGCCTCATCTAAGGTCCCTCGTGGTTCTCAGTATTCTCTGGGGGAAGAGAGAAATTAAGTTTTATCTGAGAATGTAGGGAAGAGAGGTGACTGGGGACCTGGATGGAATAAATCAACAAAATATTTTTAAAAGAATTTTTAAGTACCTCTGGTGTCTCCCTAGAATTATACGCAAGAGAAATGATCCAGCAAAAAGTATCCAGAGAGTTTCAATTATGTCCTACCACGTCATTATCGCAGGGTCTACTCTGTTTAAAATCACAGAGGGGAGGAGTTGATCGTTATCTCCTCTATAATGAGCCTTGACTGATAAACCAAATAACACAAGGAAGAAATCTACTCTGTAAAGCTCAAAAGCAGCACAGCAGCAGCGAGAGGCGAGCAGCAGCGAGAGGCGAGCAGCAGCGAGAGGCGAGCAGCAGCGAGAGGCGAGCAGCAGCGAGAGGCGAGCAGCAGCGAGAGGCGAGCAGCAGCGAGAGGCGAGCAGCAGCGAGAGGCGAGCAGCAGCACTGTCCACTCTCCTTCCTGGTTCAGAGGCACCAGGGCACCCAGACCGGGGCGGTGAGAGCAGAGGGTCAGTAAAGGCGCACCGAACTGCTGTCTCAGCTCCCTTGCCTTTCCCTTTTCCAGCCTTGCAACATCCAGCCTCTGGCCGATTCTTAGAATGTTTAAACAAACAAGAAAACTGTGTAATTTAGATTTAAGGTGTCTTTCCTTACAAGCACAATCAACAATTTAAAAAGTAGCTCATGCTGGGGGCTAAAACAGCTTGCCATTTTACCTTTAAACGATACTTTTTTAAGTGTTGTATAACCAGCTGGCTGCTTTTTTTCCCCCAGAGATAAGTCCATCTTTCTCTGATCTCCCTATCCATCCCACCTGCAGGCAGGACCAGTATTTGCTTCCAAAAACAAACAACGCTTAGGCACTCCTGATAAAGAATTTCACAGATGAGAACTAGCATTATCTTACTATGTGAAACCACAGGGCTTCTAATAAGAATTTGCTCCATATTACAGCTGTTCAAAGACCCTCCACTGGGAAAAGAGGGAGGTGGGGATAAGAATGAGCATTTTAAAAGTCCACTTATTGGGACTGCAACACATGAGGTACAACATTTATTTTATTTAAAAAATTTTTATTGATTTTAGGGGGCAGGGAGAGAGAGACAGCCATCAATTTGTTGTCCCACTCATTTATGCATTCATTGGTCAATTCTTGTAGTGCCCTAAGGATCGAACCCTCAGCCTTGCTGTATCGGGATGATGCTCTAACAACTGAGCTACTGAACCAGGATTGAAGTACAAATTTTAGGCCTATAATCTGAAAAATCATTTAACTTTAGATCAGAAATGTCAGAGGCAATAAACTAAAAGATAAAATTAAATAAGCCTGGTCTCAAAGTAATCATAAATGTTGCGTGGGATTGAGATACTGGAATAAGAGACTCAGGTTAGACTCTACCAATAACTATTTTCAAGGGAAGAATCGCAATGATTTTTTGTATTAATAGGGAATAAAACTAACTGGTATCATTTTTTAGTATGGTTTTTAAGTTATTCTCTAATGACAGATTTAATGGGTATGCTTATAGATTTGCCTAATACAGACACACTCTCTCTGTTGTTATGTCTCTCCCTTCAACTTTGCTCAGGGCTCCAAATGAAAAAGCCTATTTTATTTTGCCTATTGGGATTATTTCTATCTAAAATGATATATTTTCCCCATCCCAAATTTATTACCCATAAAATTTTAAGATTCCTTACTTTGGCTTTATACAACAGATTCACAAGTCTTAGAAAATATATTTTTGTGAGCCTGCATAACGTAACTTTCTCTATGACAAGTTCAAACATGCCATATGTTCACCTTTGTATTAATTTCCGAGGCTGCAATAACAAATTACCCCCAACTTGGTGACTGAAAACAACAGAAACGTATTCTCACGGTTTGGCTGACGGGAAGGCCAAGATTGAGGGGCCCGCAGGGCTGCCTTCCGCCTGAAGCCTCTGGAGGAGAAGCCCTGGCCTCCGACACTGCAGTAGTTGCTGGCGCCGCCAGGGGCTGCCTGGCTGAGACACAGCACCCCGGCCTCGGCCTCTGCCTCTGCCTCTCCGTAACCTTCTGTCTGTGTCGCTCCTATCTTTCTCTTACAAGGACATCAGCCATTGGAT